TCTTGGACTGTCCACTTAAATCAGGCAATTTCTACTCTTTCATCTTGCTTTATTTCAGAATCATAATACTCTTCCTTATAATCTCTAAAAGTAATTCACTCTTATTTTAGAATGGAACTGTTTTCATAAAAATAACACATGTTCATTATTTTTAAAAAGTAATTGAGAAAAGTACAGAAAAAGAAAAAAATTCCCATCACCATGAAGCAATCATTAATATTAAACAAACATTATTCTAAACATCTTCATAAGCATATGTTCAAAGTAATGACACTTCCCCCAAAATTATAAGAAAATAAGGTACTAAACATATCACTTTAAAAATAAATGGTATTAATTTTTTTTTTTTTTTGTCTTTTGTCTTTTTCCGTGTCCGGCAACGGATCGCAACCCTCAGTGTCGTCCCCGCACCGGACCGGGGACCGGCAACGGGATCGCAACCCTCGGTGCTGCTCCCGTGCCTCGCTCAGCCAGCGAGCGGGAACCGGTCTGTATGTGGGATCCGAACCCTCGGGTGGGAGTGCCGCCCGCTTCCCAAGTGGCGCACTTATCCAGTGCGCCACCGGGCCGGCCCCTTAATTTTAATTTTACTACATCAGAAGAAATAAAAGAAAGTTACAAGGTCATAAAATAACTGACAAACGAGGATCTGGCAAGAGTTAGATCAGTTATCAATTTAAAAACAAAGAAAACTGGACAGATGCTTTAAAAGACAAATATTTGTACTTTAGGAGAAGAGAGGCAAGCCCTTGTAGCAACTGATCAACCTCAAATACTTTTTGCAAAAATAACCCTCTTCATGATAGTCCTGCAAATGCAAACATGAAATGAAAGAGGCAAGATCATGTTTCATGCAATTTTATTGGAAAAAGATTATTTTAGTTATTTATCCAAGAATTAGTGCACAAGTATAATAACCCAAATTTTGTATAAGACTAAATAGTTTTATGATTTCAGATTATTTTTCAAGTTATAGTTCAATAAAAATTTTTTTGCATTTGTTTTAATTTGGGCCAGTGGATTCCCCAGTCTAAGTCTCCTCTGGTAGCAAACATTATGCCTCTAAGATGATAAAGTAACAATTGAAACAAAAGATCAAGTCAATGATCACCTGGCCAAGTTTTCCATCCAAATGAAGCAAGAGTGGATGGGTAATAGGGGAATATACTTACTTTTTCTTATAGCACCCTCAAAAAAATAGAAATTAAATCTCCAAATATTCCAGGTAGGGTTTTTGTGGGGTTTTTTTTTTGTTTTGTTTTGTTTTAAGTCACTATAATTGACATTCATCAGTGTGTTTCAAAACTATTTACATTTTCAGACTAATATTTGTCAGGGTATTCTGTCATCTCTGCAAAACAGTACTTCCTGTTAATTGACCTTAGCTCACTCAAGTTTGATGCACATAAATTTCTGCCTCTTTTTAAAAATCTAGGACTTGATGGACACATCCCAATGTTCCTCTGAAGAGTCCATCCATGAATGAGCACAAATTTCAAACATGATGAGAGCATTTTCCATGTGCGAAGCCCTAAGCAACATTTGTGATCATCTTCCCTTCTCATCCATTTTCAAACTAATGAGATCTGACATTTACAGTGTGAAAGTTCTTAAACTCCTATTTACTTGAGGTACCTTTATCATGTCCATAAAATATCTTTCAGGAGGTACAAAAACCAGGCTGCAAAGAGCATTCTAGGTATAAGTGCCTCACAATTTTATAGAAGTTAAAATGCTTCCAATACCATTTTTTGACGGAACTCAATGCACTGCTGATATTTCAGATTAGAATTTATTTGGAAATAAATGTCCAGCCTGCAAAGCTGTCCACTTATTCAACCTTCATGAATATTTACTTTTACTTGTTGCATCCAGCCAGCCATTCTCTAAATAATCTCCTATAAAAATAGGCAAATCAACAATAAGAACTCTATGCGCTGCAAAGAGCATTCTAGGTATAAGTGCCTCACAATTTTATAGAAGTTAAAATGCTTCCAATACCATTTTTTGACGGAACTCAATGCACTGCTGATATTTCAGATTAGAATTTATTTGGAAATAAATGTCCAGCCTGCAAAGCTGTCCACTTATTCAACCTTCATGAATATTTACTTTTACTTGTTGCATCCAGCCAGCCATTCTCTAAATAATCTCCTATAAAAATAGGCAAATCAACCATAAGAACTCTATGCTTTATAATCATAAGTATCATAAATCAGACAATAGAAAAAAATAGTAAGAAATTACATTAAAAAATCAATTATCTTAAAATTTAACATGTTTTTTATATAAGCAAGTTTTCTAATCTTTTGTAAACAAATTACATAAAAAAATCAATTATCTTAAAATTTAACATGTTTTTTATATAAGCAAGTTTTCTAATCTTTTGTAAACAAATTACATAAAAAAATCAATTATCTTAAAATTTAACATGTTTTTTATATAAGCAAGTTTTCTAATCTTTTGTAAACAAATTACATAAAAAAATCAATTATCTTAAAATTTAACATGTTTTTTATATAAGCAAGTTTTCTAATCTTTTGTAAAGACCTTAATCCCATTATTGAGGGAGAAGCCCTCATGACCTAATCACCTCTTAAAAGGCACCATCTCTTAATACTAGCACATTGGCAACACCTGAATTTTGGAGGGGACACATTCAAACCATAGCAATAACTTATGACAGACATTTAAAAAATTCATTTGAAACAGACCACAGATATGAACTATCATAAAAGCAGATGATATATCAACTAAAGAAGGGGATGGAGATGGAAATGGAAATTATCCAAGAGAAAACGAAGAAAAAATAAAGAGTAAACAAAATAAGAAAATGCTGTAGGTTGGATACCCTCCCAACCTCACTGAAGTTTAAATCCCCACGATAACTGTTGAGAGGGTGAGAAATCCTATTATTGTACGAAAGGTGGGGCTTTGAAGAGGTGATTAGATTGTAGGACCATGCTGCAGTGAATGGATTAAAAATGGTGGTCATGGGCGTGGTTTTGAAGGCTATAAAAGGACAGTGCCATTTAGCCCCATTTTAATCTGATTAAAAATGGGCAAAGGAACTGAGCAGACATTTTTCTAAAGACACACAAATGGCCAACAGGCATATGAAAAAATGCTCAACATTGCTAATCATCAGAGAAATGCAAATCAAAACCACAATAAAATATCATTTCGCTCCAGTTAGAATGGCTATTACCAAAAAGACAGAAAATAACAAATGCTGGTGGGAATGTGAAGAAAGGGGAACTCTTATACATTGTTGATGAGAATGTAAGTTAGTTAGTATGGCCAGTATGGAAAACAGGATGGAAACGTCTCTAACTACAGAGAGAACTACCATACAATCCAGCAATCCGCTACTGGGTATATATCCAAAGGAATGGAAATCAACAAGAAAAAGGGTCACCTACACTCCCATGTTTATCACAGCTCTATTCACATAGTCAAGAGCTGGAACCAACCTAAATGTCCTTCAGTGGATGACTGGATAAAGATGTCGTATGTATACACAATGGAATACTACTCAGCCATAAAAAAAAAATGAAATTCTGTCATTTACAGCAACATGGATGAGCTTGGAGAAAATTATGTTAAGTGAAATAAGCCAGGCACAGAGAGAGAAATACCACATGATCTCACTCATATGTGGAAACTAAAAATGTTGATCTAATAGAAGTAGAGAGTAGAATAGTGGTTACTAGAGACTGCTGAGGAGAAGGGTAAGGAGGGAGATGGGAAAAGGGTGGTCAGCAGATACAAAATATTAGAGAGATAGGAAGAATGGGATCTAGTGTTCTACAGTAATACAAGGAGACTACAATTAACAACAAGTACTATGTGTCTTTGAATAGCTAGTCAAGATGAGGTTGAGTATTTTCCTACACAAAAAAGTGACAAATATTTGAGGTGATGGATATACTAAGCATCCTGATATGATGATTGCACACAGTATGAATGTACTCAAATATCATACTGTATTCCATAAATATATACAATTATCATGGGTCAATTAAGAAAAATAAAAAGAGGGAAAAAAAGAGAGAAGTAGAGAGTATAGTGGCTGCCAGTAGCAGGGAAAGGGAGGGCCGTGGGTGGCGAGAAAAGGTTGGTAGACCAATACAAAGTTATAAAGTTTCAGCTAGATGGGAAGAACAAGTTCTGTTGCCCTAGGGTGATAATAGCTAATAATATTGTATTATACGGGAAAGGGAGGGCCGTGGGTGGCGAGAAAAGGTTGGTAGACCAATACAAAGTTATAAAGTTACAGCTAGATGGGAAGAACAAGTTCTGTTGCCCTAGGGTGATAATAGCTAATAATATTGTATTATATATGTCAAGATAGCCATAAAAGAGGATCTTGAATGTTATAACCATAAAGAAATGATAAATGTTTAGGTGACAGATATGCTAACTATTCTGATTAGGTAATTATATAATATATGCAACGCATTGAAACAACAAATATCCCATAAACAATTACAATGAAAAAAAAAATTATTTTTAATTTAAAAAAGAAAGAGAGAAACCAATGTTGACCTTAAGGTTTATTGATCAGTCTCTTAGTGAGTTTTAATGCAATCCTTCAAGCCAATAAACAGAGAATGCTTGAGATAAATGAATAACTACGTGGCCCAGAACCACAAAACTATATTCTATTTCTCGGAAAGAATACCAGAATAAAACTATCTTTTCAAAGTACAATTTTCACTTTAATTATCACACAGATGGAGCCTCATTGAAGTCTCTCATGCAAAGTATTTTTTAATAGTGTAAAACAAGCATTTCAGACCTCAGACCATTCACAACAATTTAAGATGGAAGCAACAGATTCTGAGCTTTTCTTTTCAAAACTATTTTTAGCCCCATTTTCTTTATTTCATTATAAATTGTAAATTCCATAAAACATCATTTTAATGAAACGAAAAAACTTAGTAGCCCAAATAAATTGATCAGTAAAAAACAGCTTTGGAAAAAATTTTTAATCTTACCTCTACAATAGGGCTAAGGCTGCTTGGCAGTGTTTCTGAAGTCACAGTAGTGCTTGGAACGCTGGAAATTTCCCAAGTATTCACAGGCCGAATTGGTTCAGACTGCTTTGAACGATCTATACATTTTGGATTATCCAGTAAGGTCACTTCATAAAATTCTTGAATATCTAGAGGTGAGGGGAAAAAAAAAGAAAAATTCAATAATATTTACATTTTCTAATTAAACTATGCAATGCTAAAGCAATATAATTCAAAAGCAAAATTTTTACTCAGGATTAGAAAATAAGTCCAATATTATAATGTACTTAAACATGAATATTTTCTCATTTCACTATGTCACAATCATATCAGAACCTGCAGGGCACAATGTAAAAGTCATAGACTTTTATATGTCAAAGTCAGTGCTGGGTTAAAAACCCAATTCCATCACCAGTTAGCTAGATGTATAAGCAAGTTGCTTAACCTCTGGTAACTTGCCTCTTATTGCAAATTACAGCAAAGATTGAGTATAACATATATAAGGTGTCTAGCACAATAGCATAATAGGCTCCTAATAGATGGCAGCTAATATCATCATTGTGAATTCTACAGATATAAGTCATTACTGATATTTTATATCTTTACCACCGATATCAAAGCTGATAATGTACACCCCTTGAGTGATTTTAACTGCCCTTCTAACCAAAATAAAAAAAAAATTAAAATCAAAGACCTAGAAAAGCTTTTAGATATCCTCTAGTCTGAATATTTTAAAATAGGAAGTTATATATTTTAAATTATTTTAAAAACAATCATTTAAAGGCATGACAAAACCCTATAAGAAACTATAAATTTACTTATAATAGCACAAGACAATTTAAAAGGCCAAATTACTTTGCTATCAGCTGGAATTATATTAACTTAGCATATTAACACTGGTTATTCATGCTGCTCAGAAGCTCCGAGTGGCAGTTATATGTTTAGATTCACCACTCTTTGTTCTTTATTCCCTTACTGGTATAATTTTAAATTGTTTTTTTTAAAGGGAGGGGGAATTATTATATTTAACAGTAAAGTTGGGCATTATCCTGTGTAGAATTATGTCAAATAATTATAAATAACATTTAGACAGAATAAAACAAGGAGTAAAAGACTTCTTGTTTCTCACTATTTTGAAAGCATTAGTATCTCCCTTAAAAAACAAACCTCACAAGACAGTAGAGTCAAAGTAACTCACTTCTCAGTTTTAATAACCAGTGGAATTGCAGAACTTTCCAAGTAAAGAGCTAATAAAAACTAATGTTTGCACAGTGAGGATAGTATCTACCTACCTTACAGGGTGTTAAGAATATTACCAGAGAAAACTGTATGTGAAAGCATTTTATAAACCTTAAATCACTATATAAAACTGTTCACATAACCATCATGAAAGAAATAAAAAACTCAAAAATCAGAACATCACCTACAAAGTGTTCTTGCTAAAAACTGTTTACCCCCAACCTAAATCAAGTGTTTAGAACCACCAACTTCTAGTTCACAGGAAATACAGAACATAGTTAAATGACACCAAAAGCAAGCCCTGAAACAAATCCAGGAGGGAACATCCTGCAAGACATTTGGCCTAGTCTCTTTAAAAAGTCAATGTCGTAAAAGGGAAAAGAAACTACCTGGAAGTAAGGACTGTTCTGTATAAAAGAAGTGTAAAATATATGGCAACTAACTGCAATGTTTGAAACTTGAGGGTGGTGGGGGCGGGGGGTAGGAGGGAGGTAGGGCTATAAAAGATATTGTGAGAACAATTAAGAAAATCTGAATATGGACTACCTTTCAGAAAACATTAGGGAATATTTATAATTTTTCTGTAGAAGATATATATATGTGTATATGTGTGTGGGAGAGGGGGCGGGGGGTAGGAGGGAGGTAGGGCTATAAAAGATATTGTGAGAACAATTAAGAAAATTTGAATATGGACTACCTTTCAGAAAACATTAGGGAATATTTATAACTTTTCTGTAGAAGATATATATATGTGTATATGTGTGTGGGAGAGTATGTGTATATATTTATGTACTAGGACATGTTTTCATAAATGTAGGATACATATTTATAGACCTATTATCTCCTACCAAAAAAAATTTTAAAAGCCCAGAGTTCCTATTAGAATATTATGCTCCCAAGAGCACTGAGTGCTGAATAATTGGTTAGTTATCAATATCTCAAGGTAAGTAACCCATATCACCATGAAGATTTATTATATTTTTAATTATTATAAGTCAAGCTTCAAACCCTAAATTTCTATATGACCTTTTATAATTAACTAACAGAAAGAATGCCGTATCATCCTTCAATAACATCTCTAATGAAAATCTAGAACAGTGCTATCCAAAAAAACTTTCTGCAATGACAAAAATGTTCCATAGCTGATCTAATATGTTAACCACTAGCTACAAACGGGCTTACTGAGCACTTGAAATGTGACTGGTGTGAGTGAGGAACTGAATTTATAACTATATCTAGGCTTAATTAAAGTCACCTGTGGCTAGTGGCTACTACATAGGTCAGAGAGTTAGACTAATATAATTCAAATAGAATAATATTTTACTTAACTAGTATGATCAAGGAATAAAGTGTTCCAAATGTGAATGTTTCAAAAGTTCCCTTGCATCTTGCTACTGGCCACTGAAATGCCTGACTCTAGGTCCTAAATTCATCTATCAAACAGCCCTTTCTAATTTGCTATATCTAAGTTCCCATGGACTAGAGAACAAAATCTCCATCTTAATTTAACTATATCAGGATTAAGATAAAATAAGCTGAGTAGAACAACCATTAGGATGGCTATTATTTAAAAAAAAAAAAACAGAAAATAATAAGTGTTGACAAGGATGTGGAGAAATGGGAATACTTG